TATACTAGACATTAGTTTTCTAACATCTCGTATTCAAAACTGTTTGTAAAGTGTTTAATTGTGATTAAAACTTGGTTACAATCAAAAACAGTTACCAAAGGATTTGAATATTTTTCCCTAAACTCTGTCGTCTGTCAAAGACCTAGATATTTCAAACTATGAAATCTATAAACTAAGTTTGAAAAATGTTATGTTTTCAGCATTAGATTGCAAAGATATGTGAATTTGACCATTTGAGTTTGTGGCAAAGAGTCATTTCCTTTTGTTTGAATACTTATATAAACAGTTTTGAATACGACATGTTCAATTTTTAACAATTTTTTTAATTTGAAATGATTGAATATTCTATATAATACTTCATGATAAACTAGAGGCTCTGTTTGGAACCCATTTTTATGCGTGTTGAAGATAAATTCCTCCTAAAACTTGTATTCCTTGAATCTTGAATATGGATGAGTCTGTAGAAAACCAGGAGTTGGATGAGTGTGGTAGTACAGTCACCGAACTGGAGGTAGAAGTTATTGGACAGAATTTTATGAATTTGAGCTAAGTTGTTGAACTACTTACCGTCGATTCAAATACTGATCAGTAGTTATACAGTTTAGCTATAGTTATCTAAATATCTAACTATCTAAATATCTATCTATCTATCTAAATATATATCTATCCAAATATCTATCTATCTAAATATCTAGTAGTTTTTGAGGATTCACGTAGTTTTTGAGGACTTTCACGTAGTTTTTGAGGATTTCGGTACCGTCGATCGTATACCTCTACCTTTGAATCGAATTCACGGTCACTGATTAGTAAAAACTATAAATTAATAAAACAGAAGAAACAAAACAAAATCAGATCATTCATCTTTTCAATGATTTCAAAACAAAAGAACAGAAATAAATGAATGCAAAATATAAAATGCAAGAGAGGAAGAAAATGTACAATTTGTTTTATTTTGCCTAATTTTGTTTTGCTATTTTTTTCTTAATAACTGGATTTCGTTGAAATGATGTGTATTTGTGCAAATTTGCAACTTTTTGGAGCATATTTGTTTAAGGACGGTTTACTGAATGAAATTGAAGGAATGAAGGATGAATTTCTAAATACTAAACAATATTTAAAGGTAAAAAATTAACAAAAATCACTGTACCGCACTCCTCTGCCGCTTTAGTAATTGCGGTACAGTCCAAAGTAGGACTGCAAAGGTTGGCCCAGCTTGGATATTAAAATGTACACCGCCGGGGCGTGATATATACATTTCTAATACTGTTACTTATACTGTACATAGCTGTTCATAAAATGAGCTTTTGGTTTTCATTGTAGTAACCCTTGAAGTTTGTGGGTACCCCTGTATAGAAAAGCACTTATTATTCAGAAGAATTGTTGATTATCTAAACATTTGAATTTCCAGTTTTTATTGTTGGTTTACAGAATTTTCTTTGCTGCCAACTATAAATGAAGGTTTTGGTTTTAAACTCTATAAATCACTTGATTAAAGCTTGTTTTGGATAATTGGTAGGTTTGTCTTACAAATTATAGAAATTGGCAACAAAAAATCCGGTCTATTTGAAGTACCGGGTTGACTTTAAGGCTTCTAGGGCAAGTTGTACAGTATGCGCGTATATAGTACAGACTTTAGACGGCAAAAAGGGACAGTAAACTAAACAAACCATCCCCTTCTGAAGTGGCAAACCATCAATTCGGAGCTAAAAACTTTAGATTGGTGGTTATCGAGACTAATGCTTGATCCTCTCTTTTTCTTAATATCGAGACTAACCTAATCTTGTACTTGCATCCTGAAAAGTGTATAAAATTCAACCAATCAGAGTTGCATATATGAAGCCGATAAATTTGAAATTTTGCGTGCCATTTAAGATTAATATACACGGGAGGAGCTCTCTAATTTTAAAAATCAGTGTTGGATTTTTCTCTACTATATCCAAGAAAGAACGGTTTAAGAAGAAAATGTGTCCATTGGATAATCAGATTAAGTGCGTCCATTGGATACTCAGATTAAGTAATCGAGTTCAGAGATATCTCATTCAAAAGTTTTCAGCTCTGGTATATCAAATTTAGCCTAAGTTTGAAATATCAAAGGTTTACACCATCAGGTTGCGACGATATAGGGACTAGAACATTTGAGTATGTGGAAAAGACTCAATTTCTTTATCGTTTGTTTTGGTTTTAACAAATAACAATTATCTAAGAAAGTTCACGGAGTTCACCTTTAATTTTCACGAAATTCTATAATTTTTACCCAGTTCTACCTGGGAAAGATGGCAAATATTGAGATCTTATTTCTGTTTTTGTTTGAACTCTTTCTTCATGAAAATTACCTTTTCATGACATTTATCACCTCACACTTCAGCTTTCAACGCACTTTTAAGAGAAGAGGAGGGGGTGGAGAGAAGATGAGGGGAGCTNTTGAGCCAACATTGTTTTGAGAATTTAGAGGATTAAAAAGGGGAATTATGTAATATGAGAACAAATGAATATATATAAAATTTACATATATTTATATATATATATATCTTTTTATATAAATATCATATAGATCAAAGGGAAGGAATATACAGTCTGGACTTACTTATTAATATGAAAATATTGAAAATTAATAGATAAATAATCATAATAGATAAATAATTGTAAATGTTTACTTTTTATTTAAAGGAACTCGGATTTTCTAATTTCGATATCGTTGCAACCCAATGTCGTAGACCTTTAATATTTCAAACTATGAATGCTATTAGATCAAATAATGTAAGTTAGAAATATCAAAGGGTTACATCATAAGATTGCAAAGATATAGGTTTTACAAAGACTGAATTCCTTTAATTAAGAACTAATATTTTGTAGAGTTAACGGGAGTGACCAGTAAGATCATGGTTAGTAATAGTTCAGCTCAGGACAGATAATCAAATTCTTGATGGATAGGGTTTTCAAACAATTAAAATGCTGAGGAAAAATCAGCTGGAAGACTAGAAGACCTCACTAACTCAGCAGGGAAGAAATTAATAAATTGTAATTGTATTACAATTATTCTAATTCTTGAACCTGTCACTCACTTCCCATGTTTAGTGGTACACCATGGATCACTAGACTCTCCTTAGTCGAAGGGGCTGATTCATTTGGAATACCTCCCATTTTGCCTAATGTCTGTATGCGTACTTTGTTCAGCTTGCTCCAGCTTCTTTAAAATCGGCTCAGATGAACAGGAGTTTTTAGTGGTGCATAACCCAGTTTAATATTCTCAGGATGTATCTACCCGACTAGAGGAGGAAGCAGCTACAAGGGAAGCTGCAGAAGAGCAGCTCCTAGAGGAGAAGGATGCTAGAGCAGTTGGATTACAACTTCAGAGGAAAACTGAACAGGAGAACATATTCCTAAAACAGGAGGTTCAGGTAAACAGGAGAATATACTCATGAAATAGAAGGTTCAGGTAAATAAGAGAATATACTCCTGAAACAGGAGGTTCAGGTAAAAAGGATAATATACTCCTGAAACAGGAGGGTCAGGTAAATAGGAGAATTTACTCATGACACAAGAGGTTTAGGTAAATAGGAGAATATACTCCTGAAACAGGAGAATATTCTCCTAAAATTGAAGGCGTAGGTAAACAGGAAAATATAGTCCTGAAACAGGAGGTTTAGGTGAACAGGAGAATAGCTTCCTGGCATACTCTGAATTAAATAGGAATTTCAAAAATCTGTTTTTTTCGGTCATCCGGGATTTCAATCCAACTCCAAGGGATTAATTGTACATCCGGGGTTTAAAGCCAACTCCAAGGGATTAATTGTACATCCGGGGTTTAAAGCCAACTCCAAGGGATTAATTATACATCCGGGGTTTAAAGCCAACTCCAAGGGATTAATTATACATCCGGGGTTTAAAGCCAACTCCAAGGGATTAATTATACATCCGGGGTTTAAAGCCAACTCCAAGGGATTAATTGTACATCCGGGGTTTAAAACCAACTCCAAGGGATTGATTGTACATCCGGGGTTTAAATCCAACTCCAAGGGATTAATTATACATCCGTGGTTTAAAGCCAACTCAAAGGGATTAATTGTACATCCGGGGTTTCAATCCAACTCCAAGGGATTAATTATACATCCGGGGTTTCAATCCAACTCCAAGGGTTTAATTATACATCCGGGGTTTCAATCCAACTCCAAGTGATTAATTATATATCCGGGGTTTCCATCCACCTCCAAGGGATTATTTATACATCCGGGGTTTCAATCAAACTCCAAGGGTTTTATTATATATCCGGGGTTTAAATCCAACTCCAAGAGATTAATTATACATCTGAGTTTAAATCCAACTCCAAGGGATTAATTATACATCCGGGGTTTAAATCCAACTCCAAGAGATTAATTATACACCCGGGGTTTAAATCCAACTCCAAGGGATTAATCATACATCCGGGGTTCAAATCCAACTCCAAGAGATTAATTATACACTCGGGGTTTAAATCCAACTCCAAGGGATTAATCATACATCCGGGGTTTAAATCCAACTCCAAGAGATTAATTATACACCCGGGGTTTAAATGGATTAATCATACATCCGGGGTTCAAATCCAACTCCAAGAGATTAATTATACACTCGGGGTTTAAATCCAACTCCAAGGGATTAATCATACATCCAGGGTTCAAATCCAACTCCAAGAGATTAATCATACACCTGGGGTTTAAATCCAACTCCAAGGGATTAATCATACATCCGGGGTTCAAATCCAACTCCAAGGGATTAATCATACATCCGGGGTTCAAATCCAACTCCAAGGGATTAATTATACATCCGGGGTTTCAATCCAACTCCAAGGGATTAATAGTACATCCGGGGTTCAAATCCATCTCCAAAGGATTAATCATACATCTGGGGTTTAAATCCAACTCCAAGGGATTAATTATACATCCTGTCTGAAAAAAAACTTGGAAAGTGACGACCTCCGGTATAAAAGCAATCCAGTTAATCCAGTAATCCAAGCACAAAGCAAAACCAATCGAAACGGCCATTTGTTTTACCTTCAAAGTTGAAGGAGATTACAAAAATGTAGTTTTGATTTTTTGGCATCATTAATTCCCATATTTATTGGGATACCCTGTATGCATTTAAGTTGATGATAAAAGACTGTTTAGAGCTGGGGCCTTTTGTGTTGGGTACTCTTAATCCGATCACTTGATCTCAATATTCACTATGGGCACTTTTAATTTGAGAATCTACAGTGATATCCAGAAAACTCTGAAATAGGAAGACGACTTTATAGCAATACTTAGGTGTATTTGTTGGTGTTACAAAGCAAATAGTTCTACCTGACACTTATTAAATCACTAATTAATTGAAATGGGTCTGTTTAAACTTTACAATTGCTGCGTACCATGCTTATTGGACCATTAATAGTCATATCTTCAGTCTGAAAGTTGTCTTCACATTTTAGAGTTTTCTGGTTATCACTGTATAAAAACTGTACCTTTCCATATCTTCATTTCAGTTTTTCCTCCCCTGAATTCAAAGCTTCCTTTATCCCCTGAATGGTTACGATTACGCTGCAAGATATCAAATGAAGATTAAATTATTTTGCAGATTAACAACAGATTTAGATCAAGCATTGATCTCAATATTCACAATACAAGAGTTACCAGGTTTTTTGTTCCAGGAGTTAGAGGAGAAACTGTACACGACAGAACTAGACAGGGACCACAAAGAGGAACAGATAAGGTAAAAGAATAAAGTCTTTGCCAAAATAATTGAGTCATTTGCAAAAGAATGGAGTCTTTGCCAAAAGAATGGAGTCTTTGTCAAAGAATGGAGTCTTTGCCAAAAGAATTGAGTCTTTGCCAAACGAATGGAGTCTTTGCCAAAAGAATTGAGTCTTTGCCAAAAGAATGGAGTATTTGCAAAAAGAATGGAGTCTTTGCAAAAAGAATTGAGTCTTCCCCACTAACTCTGATCCTTAAATCAAGACATGTAGCCCAATGAAGTAGACCATGGATCTTTCAAACTATACTTTTTGTTAGATCAAATAATCTAAGCTTGAAATAACAAAGGTTGAAAAGATAAAGGGATTAGAAATTTGAGTTTGTGGTTTAGAGTCAATTTCTATGTCTAGATATTTTCAGGACACATTTAAATATCTAGATAAAGAAATTGAATCTAAACCACAAACTCAAATTTCTAATGAGACACTGTAAACAGATTAAAAAGGTATCCAAGGTAGGGCCATCTCATGTCCCACACATAAGTTTGGTCTAACAAAAACTAAATTAAATCTATAATAAAACAGACCTAGACCTAGACCTAAACCTAGACCTAGACCTAGACCTAGACCTAGACCTAGACCTAGACCTAAACCTAGACCTAGACCTAGACCTAGACCTAGACCTAGACCAAGACCTAGACCTAAACCTCAACTTAGACCTAGACCTAGACCTAGACCTAGACCTATACCAAGACCTAGACCTAAACCTAAAGCTAGACCTATACCAAGACCTAGACCTGGACCTAGACCAAGATCTAGACCTAAACCTAAACCTAGACCTAGACCTAGAAACTTTATGACTTTATATATATTTAGATGTTTGCGAACCCAGGTACCTGAGACTGAATCAGCTTATGTTAAGATTAATAAGGAGAAGAAGGATCTACAAGACCAACTTGAAAGGTAATCAAATTTTACAAAATTACAAATATTTCATCTTGTCAAAAATAGTCTTTTCTTTATTTGAAAACGTTAAAATAAATTCGGGGCTTTTCTTTTTATAATAATTTTTCCTCTTAAAATTCTAATTTCGAATTCTACTATTTAGAAGAAAAAAGGAATCTAGAATACTTTTTTTTTAAAATATGCGCGCAGAAATTATTCTCTAAAAAGAATCTAAGAATAGTTAAAAAAGCACATAGACATTAGCAAAACTTTTATTTGTATAGTAAATATTAAAGAAAGTTATTTTTTATTTCTTATTATTTCAACGATGTTTATTATAAAGGAAAGAGTAAGGAGGTTTTAAAACTTAAATTAAATATGATCTGAATAAAAAATCTGTATATTCCTCCTAAATGGAGTGTTTAGGATGCATGAAGACCTTGAGAGCTGTGAGGAGAGGAATTATAGTTTAAGCAAAATCAAAATAAAACTGGAGCAAACACTAGACGAGGTAGAGTTAAAGGGACACTAGACAAGGTAGAGTTAAAGAGACCCTAGACACGGTAGAGTTAAACGGACACTAGACAAGGTAGAGTTAAAGGGACATAAGACAAGGTAGAGTTAAAGAGACCCTATACAAGGTAGAGTTTAAGAGACACTAGACAAGGTAAAGTTAAAGAGACCCTAGACAAGGTAGAGTTAAAGAGACCCTAGACAAGGTAGAGTTAAAGAGGCACTAGACAAGGTAGAGTTAAAGGGACACTAGACAAGGTAGAGTTAAAGGAACACTAGACAAGGTAGAGTTAAAGAGACCCTAGACAAGGTAGTGTTAAAGGGACACTAGACAAGGTAGAGTTAAAGGGACACTAGACAAGGTAGAGTTAAAGGGAAACTAGACAAGGTAGAGTTAAAGGAAACCTAGACGTAATTTCAAGTGACCCATCATTTATAAAATAGCGTTTTCACAACAAAACCCTTAAAAAATAGGTATTCAGAAATATGAAAATATGAAACTATATTAGTTTAAACCTGACAATCAAAAAAATCAAATGAAATCTACCAGTCTTCCATGGTGTGTTTGGTTTATATGTAATTTAATTGTGTCCTAGGTTCATGTAAATTCTAGTGGCCTCCAAAAGAATGAAAAGTTTTGGCCTCCAATAAAATTTATTGGTCTCTAAGGAAATATTTGGTCTCCAAAGAAATTTATTTGTCTTCTCTTAAATATTAGACAAACAATTAAATAGGGTGGGCGTCAGTCAAATAAAATGTCATTTATAGATAGTGGCCTCCAATGAAAAAATATTCGCCTCTAATGATCAAATATTGGCATATGAACTAAATTGGCCTCCAATAAAAATATTTAACACCCAATGCAATTATATTGACCTCCCATAAAATTATATTAACCTATAATGAAAAAATATTGGCCTTTAATAAAATATATCCAATGATATTATATTGGCCACCAACAAAATTATATAAGCGGTCAATGAAAAAATATTGGCTTCCAATGAAATATACTGGCCTCAAGCAGAACTGTACGCGTACGTGTCACATCCAATGATATTATATTGGCCTCCAACAAAATTAAATTAGCCTCCAATGAATAAATATTGGTTTCCAATGAAATATATTGGCCTGCAATGGTTGTATTGAAGATGGAGGATGAGATAGAGCAGGAGAAGAAGAGTCGAGGAGAAACTGAGAGATCTAAACGCAAGCTGGAGGGAGAGTTTAAACTCTTACAGGAATCTTTATACAATAAAGACAGGTAAAAAGCAAACATCCAGGAGGAGGGGGTGCAGGGCCGCAATGAGCCCCGCAAAATGGTCTCCAAGCCTCCGTATTCGTAGATGAGTATTTAAAATAACCTGACGCTACCCTAAACGTTAGAATAGATGTTATAGAAGTAAAAAATAACATTTATAAATAAAATATAAATCATTAAATAGTCATGCAGCGTTTTCTTGAAAATAAAAAAAACATTGCATACCCTTTAAAATATTTAATACTAATCTGCGAATCCAGAGGCTTGGAGACCATTTCGCGGGGCTCATGGCGGCCCTGCACCCCTTCCCTATATACAACTCTTCCTAGTTTTTTAATAGATTTTAGAGATATGATTTATACCGGGTTCTCTTGCAGTATATTTAACTATGGATGAGAGCTCTAATTTCTACAAATCTACCTATATAATGTATTTAGAGAAGTGCACGAGCTAGAAGTGTCCTATGTAAGGAAGGAGAAAGAAAACAAAACTCTAGGAGTAAAGCTTGAAGAGGAACAGGCCAGGGCTTCAAATGCAACAAAACAGGTTTGATTTATTTATAGAAGAAAAATCCACAATTTTTATGATTGCCGACTATGCGCCACAAAAAATGCTAATTGAAAATAAGATGAACTGTTATAATCCATTAAAATCTTTTTTCTTTAATTACTCATTTTTAATCAAAAGTAATACTCTTTTAACTTTTCTTCTTTAAATCATTGCAATAATTCAAAGGAAATGAAAGGGGTCCATTTAAGTCTAAGTGGTTCAACTACGCCTTGCTAATCATTAAACTTCGCCAAATTTAATACTTTTAGATGTATATATTAATTTTATATATCTTAAAGGGACTTTAAGCGAAATATCAAGTGACCCTCCAATCCGGTGTGCGCTCTGAATGTTGAACTTACTGGAATTTGCAGCTGCACATTCAAGCGGGTTTCGATACATATTCACATACATTACATATTTCTTTAAATCTATCTTATTATATATAGGGTTGTTTAATTAGAGATGGATCCTGACATCAGTGCTAAACAGTAAATGGAAATGTAGACTTCTTCTACCGAACCAATAGTGTTACAGCTATGAATCGGGCATTGACCTCTATACAAGGATAATAATGCTTACAGTCCCTTTAAACAAAAGACACGGTCTAAATTTTAAATGCTCCAACAGAAGATCAATAAAAGGTTCAAGACTGTGTCCGACGATTTACACTAAACCCCTAACCGGCTGAGCGCTCTATGAACAGATTTAAAATCTAAAAGTTTTGAGCTGAGCTAAATTGTGTAGATACGAGAGTTGAGCGCTAGACTGGATCTGGTCGAGGAGGAACGAGAAACTGAAAGACTAGCAAGGATAAGAGCAGAGACACAAAGAGTTGAACTTTCAAGGAAACAAGATGACTAAATTTAAGTTTTTTAAAAAATACTTATTTCTTTTTATTAAAATTTTGACAAAATTTTCTAAACTAGGTGATATGTTTTGACATTTCTGTTTGTCTGAATCTCCATTTTCTTCTTGTTGTTGTTTGTGCATCATCCGGGTCTGTCCTACAGAACGATTTTTGGACCCCCCGCCCCCCCCCCTCCAATCAATCATTATTATTTATTTTGTATTATTTTAGGTTAGGTTAAGTTAAGACAATTCATGGGCCGAGCGCTGCGGCTAGGGAAGGCTAGGGGGCCGAGCGCCGCGGCTTATAGGACAGGCTAGGGGGCCGGGCGTTGCTGCCACATGTCTTACATATAATATCCATGTAAACAATTGATAGGGGGGGGGGGGGGGTCCAAAAATCGTCCTCTAGGAAATTACCCATCATCCGTCATGTTCGGCTAATTTAAAAAATTAAAGTATAATTAACTATACATGTTGACGTAAGATATCATAAAACAAGAGTTATTAATGAATTATGTTTAATAAATGTTGTTTCTTGCTCCTCATTGCATGAATCCGTATGTCACATTACTATAGTGAAAAATCACAATGATAAATTATAAATTTTTGTATAGAAAATAAGTATGGATTTCTTTATCATTTTACTCCTTTCAAGGTTTGAATATAGGGCAATTTTATATTGCGTTGACAGTCCCTTTAAATCTTAAGTCTCAGTCCAATATCAATTTTATATTACGTTGACAGTCCCTTTAAATCTTAAGTCTCAGTCCAATATCAAGACTTTAATTCTAAGTTCATCAAATGTTAAGAAGAGTTGAAGATTTAACTTTAAGCCTGGAGGAAGCCGCAGATTTTAACTCGAATCAGGTCAGTTCATAAAGTTGTGAATTAATGAAGTCTTTACGACTATACTACTGGCATAAAAGTTGTCTTTGCTCATTGAAGATTGCACGACTTATTGTCATTCCATGGGACACCCTGTATTTCCTCTCTTATTGTCATATTCCATAGAACACAGAGTATTTTCTTCTCTTATTGTCATATTTAATGGGACACCCTGTATTCTCTTCTCTTATTGTCATATTTAATGGGACACCCTGTATTCCCTTCTCTTATTGTCATATTTAATGGGACACCCAGTATTCACTTCTCTTATTGTCATATTTAATGGGACACCCTGTATTCCCTTCTCTTATTTTCATATTTAATGGGGCACCCTATTTTCTCTTCTCTTATTGTCATATTTAATGGGACACCCTGTATTCCCTTCTCTTATTTTCATATTTAATGGGGCACCCTATTTTCTCTTCTCTTATTGTCATATTTAATGGGACACCCTGTCTTATTTTCTCTTATTGTCATATTTAATCGGACACCCTGTATTCTTTTCTCTTATTGTCATATTTAATGGGGCACCCTATATTCTCTTCTTTTATTGTCATATTAATGGGACACCTTGTATTCTTTTCTCTTATTGTCATATTTAATGGGACACCCTGTATTCCCTTCTCTTATTGTCATATTTAATGGGACCCCCTGTATTCCCTTCTCTTATTGTCATATTTAATGGGACACCCTGTATTCCCTTCTCTTATTGTCATATTTGATGGGGCACCCTATATTCTCTTCTCTTATTGTCATATTTACTGGGACACCCTGTATTTTCTTTTCTTATTATCTTATTTAATGAGACACCTTTGATTTCTTCTATTATTGTAATATTTTTTGAGACACCCAGTATTCTCTTCTATTATTGTCATATTTAATCGGACACCCAGTATTCACTTCTCTTATTGTCACACCCTGTATTTTCTCCTTTTCTTGTCATATTTAATAGGACGCCCTGTTTTCTCTTCTCTTATTGTCATATTTAATGGGACACCCAATATTTTCTTCTCTTATTGTCATATTTAATCGGACCACCTGTATTGTTTTATCTTTTCGCGATGTTCTATGGGACACCCTGTATTTCTTCTCTTCTTGTCATATTTTTCCACCCTGTATTTGCTATAGTCTGAACTGGGTCGGAGAAGGGAAGATGAAATCATGAGAGTTCGGCAGGAAATAGAACAAGTTAAAACTCTTTACGAAACACAGGTAAAATTAAAGTTTAAAAAATAAAGAAATTTCTTTTGAAAAAATTGCTTTTAGAAAAGATTCCTTTTTTCGAAATAATCAAAATTTAAGTGATTTAATATAACATACCGGTTAAATTTAACATTTTTTTGAATTATGTTTTTGTGCACAATCTTTTTGGTTCATCAAGGAAAAATTAAAGGCAAAAGATACAAAAACTAAAAGAGTTACGGGACAACAATATTAAACAATATTGGGTTTGACCCAATTTACAACGGTACTCTCTTTAAACCTTTATCTGATTAATTATGCGGAAGATATTACCTGCTTTATAACTTAAAACGTATTTGATTCTGAAAATTTCATTTGTTGTTTCTGAAGAGGAAATTTGAAAAAACGCCATTAAAAATAATCAATTTTCACTGAGAATATGATGCATTTTTGGTCAGAAAAAAAGTTAAGGGCACCGTTCTTAATCTGACAAGTTACGACCATAGTCCCTTTAAGAACGGATCCATAGTCCCTTTAAGAACGGATTATATTATTTAAGATCGAAACCTTGAAAAAGAAACACTCTGAGACCTTGAATTGTATCCTGGAAGAAACTGAATCTGGAAATAAACTTCGACTCAAGTATTTTCTTTACACTTTCTATAATTGGATTTATAACAGAGCATCTTAGAACTATAAAGCGACAAATTCTCCCTCTGCGTTGACAGTCCCTTTAAANTAAATACAATTCTTAAATCAATAATCAATAAAATATCCCCAGTCTTTAGATTTCCTAAATGTGGTCAGTTTTTTTGGGGCTTACAAAATTCATTATATCGCCAGTAATACTGAAAACACAATCAAGGCAGACCACATTTTGAAAATTCCGATTAATTTGTGAAACTTAAAATTGGATTTACCTTTTTTCCAACATTTTATATAGACTAGAATGTGAAAGTCAGAAACTAAAGACTGAAAACCATGAACTCCGAACCCTGCTGGATACAGCCTATAGAGATAATAAAACCATGGAACGAACATACAAGGACGACAACTCAAATCTTCAGGTATCAGCTTCATTTCTCCACTTCTATTGAAAACTGTGGAATAGGAAGACGACATTAAAGCTGTATTAAAACTATATTGAATTTCGTTAAAAATCAGATTCAAATGGTAACTTAAAACTCAATTATTAAGTGCAAAATGGCCTGTGAACACTGCACAATTTGACTATGTCTCATCTCATGTACATATTTAAAAAAACAACAGAGATGAGATTTTAAAAGTACAAAAGTCGTCTTCCTATTACGCCTTTCTAATTTCCCCTGTAGGATTTCTGAATTTCCTGTCTCGAATCTTTTAAATTTAAAGTTTTGAGCATAATATTATTTATGCTTTACAGGGTGAGTAAATAATAAGTGTAATTAGCGTATTTTCCTTTTTTCACACACCCTTTATATTGACGAGAAATGTAGTGGATCAAAAACGATTTATGAGTCACGTGCTTCCTATGTTTATTAAGGAAAATAAAGGCTTTATTCTAATCAAAGAAGGGCATGCTCTATTCACAACGGTATCCATTAAACTTTTGTCCGAACAGAATGTTAAAATTTATTTTTTGATCTAAAGATCATTAATTTCTAATTGAGGTTTCTCTATATGACGTGACTTGGGGATTTTATGCAGTAGAGACAAAGAACATAATTAACAGAATTCAACACTAGTGATGATTTAAAAACGATGATATCTTCCACATTATTGATCAGATAAAGGTTTAAAGGCTACTGTTGTGAATCGGCAAGTGCCTTTTTTTACTAGATATTTCAGCGGCAGTCCGTTCAAGGAACCAAAAGAGAGATCATTGGGGCTGAGTTTCCAGGACCTTACATCAATATTATTTACAACATTATCTTGTTTAGAAGTATATCCAGCAACTTGATGAATCTAGAAAGTTTACTGCTGAACTAGAGATGATAAAGAAGAGGCTTGGTAAGTATAAAAAATTAAGAATTAGGGAAACAGTTTTATTTATTTGCAAAAGTTTTCAGAAAAAGGGTCGTGATATGATTTGTTTAAAAGTCAGTTGTTTCAAATTTTACATAATAGCAATGACAAGCTGAAGGGGCCGGCTTTGTCCGTAGAAAAAAAAATTTCGAATTTTTTTGCTTTGTTAAACCCCACGGCCACCCATGAGTGTTCATAAAAAATGTCAGCTCATTAGGTCCAGCCGTTTGGCCAGCAATAGACAACATATATATATGAATGTCTTGTTTTTTATATAGATTATCATTTGCTGAAGTTGGACGCCAGTACAATTGACATTTTTGAGTAAAAAGTTTGAATAATTAAGAAAAAAAAAATGTCTAAACTTTTGGAAATTTGATATTTTTGATTTAGGATCTGAGAAAATTGAACTTCAACGTCAGTTAACGGAAACACAAAATGCTTTAGGTTTTGTATTAAATTGTATTAATTTATACAGTGATAACAAGAAAACTGTGGACTATGAAGATGGCATTTAAATTAAGTGTATTTTGTGGTGATATAGAAAGCACACAGTTTTACCAATAACTTATCTAATCACTTATTAACTGAAATGAGTCTGAACAATTGCTGTATATCATGTTCAATGGACTTTATGTCTAAAAGTCGTCTTCCTATTCCAGAGTTGTATGTCTATCACTGATTTAAGAGATTAAGAGAGTGAATAATTTTGATAGTTTTATAGGGTTTTGTCAAATTTAAATAAAGTGTCAAAATTCTTTGCAGATACGAAAATGTACCAATCTAATAATAAATCGATCCAATAGTTGTGGATTTCTCATGATTTCTTGGTTGATTTTCATGCCTTTACTGTGTTATATTTTCTAAAAATCTTACTTTAATTAATATTTGTTTGGTTTAGGTCAATCCATGAAGCTGAAGAGTGGTTTACAGTTTCAGGTCGAAGAATTAAAGAAATCATTAAACGACGAAGCGAAAGAGAAATCCACATTAAATAGTAAACATAAAAACTTATTTCTTGAGTTCAATCATCACAAGAAACAGATGGAGGAGGTTCTTGATGCAAAAGATAATATTTCGAGGAGATTAAGGTAATTTCAAATGAACCTCTATTTAAAGAGGTCCCAACTTAAAACGACAACATTTAAACATTTCTCTTAATAACAATGGAGAAGATATCAGAGTTTTCTTATATTGAAAAGATTTTTTATTTACTTCCTTGTCTCCACAGCAAGTTATTTTTACAGAGAAACCGCGATTGAAAATTATGACATGCAAAATATGATACCTTTACAACTTTTGATAATAATCGTTCAAATAAGATACGGGTCACTTATAATAATTAGATCAACTGCACTGATTTCAATTTAACTATGCGTTAAAGTGCCAGTGCCATGGGAGCGGATGCATTCGCACCCTCTCTATGCAGAGTAGTGCTAGTCCTATTCAGTGTCATTATAGTAGTATTACTATTTATGATCTTATCAGTAGGGATGTTAACGTTTTCCTTTATGAAAAACGATAGTTTCGTTATGAAAACGACGACAAAAACGAAACGACCGTTTTTAAAAAAGTTCCTTTTTTAAAAAAAGGTCGTTTTCGAAAAGCTCGTTTTTATAATGCTTGCCGTTTTGTAAACAATCGTTAAAGAAGAGAGGATGAGAGAGGAAACCTCCCTGAAGGGGATCGGTACGTATCATTGAGCAGTTTTAAAGAAAATATCTTGAAATTTTAGCTCCCCTGCATCTTTTTTACCTTAATAAAAGACAACATTCGATAAAGTTGCATGTAATTTTTTTTCAAAAACGATAGTTTTTATAAAGTTTGTTGGTTCGTTAACGATCTTTAAAAAAAATCGTTTTTTCAAAAAGAATAGTTTTTAAACAATCGTATAAAAACGATCGTTTTCTAAAAGTACAAAACGAGTGGGTCGTTTTTAAAAACGATCGTTTTTTTCCAAAAAGGAAACGGTCGTTTTTGAAAAACTAAACAAAGAAATTATCGTTTTACGATCGTTTTCAAAAACGATTAACAACCCTACCTATCAGAGCAAATTTTGGAATTCATTTTTTCAATTTATGATTGTAAAGAATTAAAAATTAAGAAGCATGCTTCTTCAAACTAATCATTATATGATTATCTTAATTCAGAAAAGGACTTTTGTTTTATTGAAAAGTATTTTTCATTCAATTGAGCCAAAATAATTTGCAATAGGAGAGTTGATAAAGAAAATATATCATTTAATCTAATTTTCTTCCTGCCCTGCATGAGACCTTTGGCCAGTGCCAAAATTGTTTTCTTGACTAGGTCGATACCAATTAGCTTTTCTAGAAAACCTAGTTTTTATGTTTGAACATTTGGATAAACAGTTTTTTTTTGTCATAGTCAAAGCCAAGCAGAGTTGGACTTGTGTAAGACAAAATACGAAACAGAAACTGTTCATAAAGTAGAGGATTTAGAGGTTCAACTCTCTAGAGCTCAGGTATATATATATAGAGGATTTAGAGATTCAACTCTCTAGAGCTCAGGTATATATATATATAGAGGATGTAGAGGTTCAACTCTCTAAAGATCAGGTATATATAAATATATAGAGGATGTAGAGGTTCAACTCTCTAGAGCTCAGAGGTTGAATTTTATGAATATGAACCACCGCCAATCACCAGTTAAAATTGCTCCTTTCTGGCTCAAATCTTGAAAAACTGATTAAAATTTTAAGTTAAATCAACATCATGTATAATATAGAGAATTTAAAAGTGTGATACAGCTAGGGCAACTGAAATTATGGTTTTTTTCATTGCATTATGGTTTTCTTAAGTTAAAATATGACGAAGTATTTATTTGCTTATCAACACTAAGATTATATATAATTAATGTTAGATCGAATATCAAATATAAAGTAGAAATACTTTAAATAAATAGCTACAAAGTTACTAATTAAGGATGAAACTTTGAAGACGAACCAAAAATTTAAAACTTTGACAATTTGAAGTTTAATTTTTAGTTTCTGCATTTAATTGAATATTTTGATGGAATTGAATATTTTGATGGTGTGTTAAATGATCAAGTACAGAAATATGCCAGTTTTGGCCTACAAGGAACCCTGAATGCAAGAAAACGGACTAAGCAAATTCCGTACAATCATATCTGAAGTCTGTTCTGTTGGTAACCCTGTATACAAAAAACCATGATTCAATTTTTTTCTGATTTTACTTTTATCTAGAATAAAATCAGTGAATCTGAATCCCAGATTTTAGTCCTGGAAAACAAACTCGTCAACTCTGAAAAGATGAGAAGAAGGTGTTTGGAGGATTCTCAGGAGTTGCAGGATAAGGTATGTTTACACGGGAGGTGACGCAAAAAAAAAGACTTAGTAAAATATTCAAAGTGGAGACAAAAACTTTGCCAAGTACAGAACTTTTGATTGTGATTGAGTTGAGCTGCACTACTTTAAATCAGCCATTTGATTATTTTTAGTATTCAAATATGAGTACATGCGCATGTCTGATTCACAATAGTACCCTTTTATTGGCAAGAATTTATGAGATATTAGTAAATTTCTGTTTAAAAGTTATTAATTTTTAATTGTGCAGTTCTCTACTTTCAGCTTCGCAAACATTAAAATGGGAATCATAATTTAACATTTTCCAGACTAGAAAATACAATATCTTCTTTAAAAATAATCAGATACAGGTTGAAAGGTACCATTGTGAATCTAACATTCAGTGAAATTTTTGAACCTCAAGAGTTTTAAACAGATAGATTTAAAAATATTGAACTTGTCTTTTATTCGTCTAATTTTAAGTTTTGAATTTTATATCACTTTGTTTGATTTGAATTTGCTGAAAACGGTGAAGGGGGGATTCTATTGATCTTTTGTTAAAAATAAACATTTCTATAAATAGTGTTTACTATCAACCTTTCTCTTATCGCTTGAAGTCGTCCTATGTAGATCCCCAATATTTCAAAATCTGTTCGAACCTCTTATAACATATAAACTCGGGGTGGGACATAATAATAATAATGTTTTAAATGCTTTTAATTAAATGGCGTAAAGTTCCATTGATTTAATTATTTACAAATACTTTACTGAGAAGTTAAGGAAATTTCACTATACCAAACGAATTGAGTTTTTTCCACAAACTTAAATTTTCCAATTCCTATAACTTTAAATCCTGAAGGTGTAAACCTGTGATTTTTCAAACTTAGCTTAATTGATCTAACAGAATTCATAGTTTGAAATATCTAAGATCTTCGACATTAGGTTGTAACGATATAGGGGTTAGAATATCTGAGTTTGCTACAAAACTCAATTCCTTTATTTCCTGAAAAGTAGTCGTACACAATTTCATCGTCTTTTGAGATGCAAGAATTTTTTCACAAAACTTCAGAGAGGGGACCGTTATTTTACTTAATTGTCCGAAGGGACGTAAAGTAACTTAACCCCTCTGATGACGGAATCATAGGTTGGTTATGTTGGTAAAAAGGCGGTAAAATAATAACGTTTCAGATTGAAACCTTGACTTTCACGAACACTAATCTGGAGAAGAAACTACGTCAGCTGGAGAGAGTTAGCGGAGAATGGAAATCTAAATATGACGGAGTCAAGATGAATCTAGAAGAGTTAAGGGAACACGAGAAAACTCTCTCCCTAGACCTACTCAGAGTTAAATCCAACCTTGAAACTCTTCAAGAAAAAATAGAATTTCTGAAAAAAGATAACCGAGGTCTGTTGGCTGAAAACAAGGTAGAGAGCAAGGAAGATAACCCAGGAACCTCCGTATATTTGTTTACATAAAAAGTGTACTGCAGTTACTAAGCAGAAGGTTGAAAGTAAACAAACCGAGTTTTTTATGTTATTCTCAGAAATTGCATTACACTCATTACTTGAACGGAGATATAGGGTTCCTGGCATATAGAGTTTTCAATCGGAATTTTGTTGTACGGAATTGCGCGCATTTGTTCCTGAACCATTCTCATCCCAACCTGAACCCTTTTTTATTCCCAACCTGAAACCTTCTCATCCCAATCTCAAAACTTCTCATCTTCATGACCTGAACCCTTCTCATTCCCAACCTGAACCTGACATATCCCTAAAATGAACCCTTCTCATCCCCAACCTAAACCCTTCTCATCCTCAGCCAAAACCATTCTCTTCCCCAATCTAAACTCTTCTCATCCCCAACCTGAACCCTTTTCATCCCCAACCTAAACCCTTTTCATCCCCAACCTAAACCCTTTTCATCCCCAACCTAAACCCTTCTCATCTCTAACCTGAAGCATTCTCATCCCCAACCTAAACTCTTTTCATCCCCAACCTAAACCCTTTTCATCCCCAACCTAAACCCTTCTCATCTCTAACCTAAAGCTTTCTCATCCCCAACCTAAACCCTTCTCATCCCCAACCTAAACCGTTTTCATCCCCAACCTAAACCCTTCTCATCTCTAACCTGAAGCTTTCTCATCCCCAACCTATAAACCCTTTTCATTCAACCTAAACCCTTTTCATCTCCAACCTAAACCCTTCTCATCTCTAACCTAAAGCTTTCTCATCCCCAACCTGAACCCTTCACATCCCAACCAGAACCCTTATCATCCCCAACCTGAACCCTAATCATCCCAACCTGAACCCTAATCATCCCAACCAGAACCCTTCTCATCCACAACCTGAACCCTTATCATCTCCAACCTGAACCCTTCACATCCCAACCTGAACCCTTTACATCCCAACCAGAACCCTTCTCATCCCCAACCTAAACCCATTTCTGCTTTTCATCCCAACCATAATCCTTTCTCATCCCCAACCTCAACCCTTCTCAACCCTAACATTAACCTTTCTAATCTTTAACCTGTAACCTTCTCATCCCCTGAACCTTACTCATTTCATTTCCAATCTTAAAACTTCTCATCGTAATTTAAAAAATTGGACTGGTTGATCACCGGCTTAAATCCTGAATCACCGATCACACCTCCCCGGAAGCNAACTATAAGGATTTATTAAAGATACAATTTTATATTATCGATGTCGAGATTTTCCCTCCGTTCTCGAATTTTTATTTTAAAAGTCGATCCACTAAAAATACCATCATTACACAAAAACGAACATTGAATGTTTACCATTTCAATATAACTTTATGTCAAGAGTCGTTTCATATGCACCAAGAAATATTTAAAATTAAGTAATTGCAACCACTTCACTGTTTTGTTTAAACTCAAAGTTTTGAACTTGCGCGCCATCGCGGGGTATTTTACGCCGCAATTCAGAATGGGACCGAGTTTGATTTCATCGTCTTCTCTAACTAGTTTTTCTTGCGGTTTCATACGCGTAAATATACTAATTAGAAAAATGGTCGTAACAACGAGGTCAAAATCGCTTCCGGGGAGGTGTGCGATTTAAATCATCAAAAATCTTTGAATCGGGGATTTTGGATTTGAACCGGCGGTAGGTAATTTTTTTAATTCCGTGCCAGGAGTTATTAGAAAAGTTTGAAGAAGAGGGGATGAGAGTTGCTGAATCTGAGAAAACTCGTCGAAGATTAGAAAAAGAGAAACATGAAGTAGAGAATACTTTAGAGGAAGCAGAGGCAACGATAGAGCAACATGAACATAGGTTATCTACTTTTTCAAGGGATCTAATACGTAATTTCAAGTGATCCTCACTTCATAGAACAATGGTGCCCTTGGTCTTATCAAAAACAAACGAGGATTCTTATTTTACAAGAGAAAATTTGATTTATTTTGTTCTTGGCTTTATTATTAAGTTTCTTGTTGATTTATCTTTCAGAGGCAAAGGATGAAATTATTAAATTAAAAAATTTCTAGAAAAACAGAGATCGTCCTCATTGTTTCTCAGATAAAGGTTTACAGTTACCGTTTTTAATAATGGGACTTGTCACTCTTTATATGGAGGATCCTTTGAACAAACGTGTACAGTCCCTTACAAGGAAATTTGTATGATTCATTTGAAATAAAGAAATATTATAATTGGGTGAAAACACTTTCTTTTCCATCCAACTAAAGGGACTAATCGTAATTTCAAGTGACCCTCTTTGCAAAGATGTCAATGCCCGATTCACACCGGTATCTTTGAAACCTGTATCTGATCAATAATGTGAAAGACATTGTTGTTTTTCTTGGTTTAAAAGTGCCAAATTATTCATATGTTTTTCTGCAGTAGAAATGCGCAAGTTACTTTGGTAATGGTTGTAGAGAAACCACAATTTAAGATTATCAGTTTAAAAATCATTAATATAATATTTAATATATAATTGATCCAACAAAGCTTTTAATCAGGAATTGTCATCATCATTTGTCGCTTGAAATTACGCCTAAAGTCCCTTTAAAAACTAGAATTCTTAAATCGATTAAATGAGAAATAATAAAAAAATAAAACTAATTATTTCATATTTTTAGAAATTTACGCTGTCAGCTTGAAATGAGTAAATTAAAGCAGGAACTTGAGCAACAGCTGCTAGAAAAGGTAAAAAATACAAAATTAAAGTCATTTACCTTTTTTCAAATATCAAGGTCCCTCCCTTTAAAGGGATTGTTCACCTATTTTAAAATACAATCAAACCTCTATAACAGGGGAATCTTAAAGCAATAAGATTGGCTCTATTGTTGTTCTTGGGCCGAAAGCATAATATTATGTAATATTTATATGATTAGACAATCCATGTTTTACTTTAAGGTTGTTATTTATATAATAAAGCTCTTCGCTTTATATATATATATACTGGGCTTTTAAAAAGAAATTCGGGACCGATCGTTTATTGGATACAAACAGACAAGCAAAGTAAATATAGTTGCATTATATATATATGTAAACATATTTTATATATAGCTTGCCAAACGACCATGGACCAAATTGGCTGCCTTTTTCTGAGGGAACCCATGAGTGCCCGGTGGGGGGGGAGGGGGATTGGAGGAAACATAGGCTATTTTTTTCTTCAAAATTCGAAATTTTAAATACAAAGTTTTTCAAAATTTTAATCTGAAACGGCGGACAATTAGGCTAGTAGAGGTAATAAATGAATTCAGTGTTATTTCACTGTTATCCCTGCATTTATGTCTACCAAGGAATATCAATATGACCACCACCGGCACCAAGGGATATCAATTAAGAATTACATCCGTGCGGAAGTCTCCATAAGAGATATTAATGATTCATCCCGAAATGTTAGTTCTTAATCTTTCAATTATAGAAATGCCTTGTAGGGTATGATCACCAAGAAATTTCGTGTTGTAATAAAATTAATCCGTCTGCGCAAAAGATGGAGATAGATGCTTGATCTTGAGAGAGTCCTAACAGAAAAGTTCTGTTCGGTATAACTGCATATTGTCACCTAAAATCTTATAATCAAGAAATTAATTGTATATTGAAAATGTATAACTTTAACTAAATACAATTTGAACAAGCCAAAACTTTTTGATTCTTGAATCTAGGTAAAGGACTTTTCTACTTCCGGGTGTACTACTGGCTGTATTTACAACAAGAAAGGATCAGGTAATTTACTTGTTTACAATATTACAGTATCATACAATATTACAATGCAATATTACAATCTTATACAATATTACAATCTTGTAATGAATAAACCCTTTTATATCATTCCAATTCCATAGAAGGAAACAAAGTGTTTAACATTGGCAAGCATGCCTTTAAATATTACAACTATCCCCCTGCGGAAACTATCTCCAAAGTTTTCCAACTCTGATTTAAAGTTGTCTCCTTGTGATGGGTTATATCCTTTGGCCTTATTTTTCCTTTTATATGAGGCTGCAAATTTCGTGTAAGCAGATTGAAATGCTGATCTGGGTGTCCTCGGTTCTCTTGCGGCAAGCAGAAGTCGTTAATTAGATCCTATTTTTTCCCAGAGTGGGTTCTCCATTACTGGTTCAGGTTTAATGTTGATTGGCTCTTTCACCACATTATTTGGCATCCTTTGAGAGGTCAAATCATCCCCTCCTGTTTGTGGTTGGATTGGCTGGTTTATCATTAGGTTCTGAGGATTTCCTGATGTACCTGGGATAAGGACCATAAGGGTAGTGGTTTCTATTCCTTCATTCTGCCCATACTCCCCATGGGGTATTCCGGAGTCCATCATGTATTCCTCTTCTTCATCTGAAGATAATTATACGGTTTGGCCTGCTCTGTGCCTAGGTTCTCCCTCAGTGTGCTGTGTCTTGACCCCTTGTGATTGGATATTTACTTCTACATCCTCCATATTGTATTAAGTCCAGGTCCACCTGCTCTTGCATTGTTGGACTGAACTCTGGGTAAACCTTCTTTAGTCTACTATTTCCCTCTTATTCACTGTCAAGGTCCCCAGTGCAGTGGATAGAGGATAGATAGTGCTCCTGATGGTGTATTCACAATTCTATAAGGCCCAGTCCATCGTAGAGTAAGTTTCCTAGATAGGTTTAATACTCCTCTTGGTGAAAAGTAGAATACAATATCTCCAGTCTTGAAATCAGGTTTACATCTCAAGGATTTCCTTTGATTAGCAAACCATATTTTTAACCTTTCCTGGGTTTGCATTCTTAGATGTAGGTCCTCGAATGCACTTGACAGTTCAGATACATATCTTGTCCAAGTTTTGTATTTCTACAATTGCCCATCTGGGAAAACCACATCCAAGGGTAATCTCCCATTTCCCCCATATAAGGCATAGAAAGGGGTTATTCCGGTGGTTAGGTTTCTGGCAACATTGATCTCGAATGGATTCAACCCTCTACACTTGGCCCTTATTGGAGTAGCTCCTGGGATTAGTGTGATGTCGAATTGCAGCAGATCTGATTTACCAAAATCTTCACTTCTGACAGAAATTGCATCCCAATGTTTGAGAAATGTATCCACAATTTGTTCCTTGAGTTTCTCTTCTATTTCCATTTTGTCTGTGTTTAGTTACTATCTGAGAAACCTTCTTCTTTCTTCTAAATCTTTATCAGATAAGTTCTGTTCTGGTCTGTGGTCCAAAGTACTGACACACTCTGCCCTGACATCAGACATAGAAGATTGAGATCCAGAGCTGAAAACTTTAGAATGGTGGATATCGGGATTAATGCTTGATCCTCTCTTTTTGATAATCTCAAGATTAACATAATCTTGCAAGATTATCTTTAAAGTTTATGAAAAACGATAAAATTAAAATTAATATTTAATCATCTGAGAAACTGTAGCAGCCAAT